GTGACCAGGACTTGTCAACATCAGCTTCCTGAACTGACAGACCTCCAGCTGTTTTTGCCCAATCCACTGGCTTAACATTTTCTTTCTTTCTTTTCCAGTAAAGCAATAATAACTCCAACTATTATTAGAGTGAAATGCCTCCTTTATACTTAAGCAGATGGGCAACAAAGCCTTTGACTTTAATTTAGTAACTTGGGTTTGACGGCATGACAGGGAAATTATATGTGGTCATTATGGCATCACGGTTGACATTCACATGGCTTTTCACATTCATATTTTCTTCACGGAAAAGGAGGAACAGCTCAAATGTATGCTGCCTGGTGACTCAACATGCAGATCTCTGGGGGGGGGGGGGAGAAAGAAGGCAAAGAGCTTGGGGGATTTGTGGGAGATGCATCCCTTTATGGGATGAAGTCCAATTTTCCAGATCCTGGGAACTTTGCTGTCTTGATAAGTGTTTAGAGAGCAAAGGATGTTAGAAAATTGTAGAAGGTACATTTCCAAATTGGATGAAAGAGCCTTCTTGACTCTTTATTACTACTCAAGTGATTTATCCTTGTTATTTAGGGAGAATGTATATGAGAAACAGCTTTAATATTTTACTGGCATGTAGCATGGATTATAAACTGTAAGACCTTCTTTATGTTATTATCTAACTAGAGGCCCGGTGCACGAGATTCGTGCACTGGGGGTGGGGATTCCTCAGCCCAGCCTGCGCCCTCTTGCAGTATGGGACCCCTTGCTTTTTACTGCCCTCCTGCAGCAGAGGCAGGAAAGGCTCCTGCCACCGCCGCTGCACTTGCCAGCCATGAGCCTCGCTTCTGGCTGAGTGGCACTCCCCCTGTGGGAGTGCACTGACACCAGGGGGCAGCTCCTGTGTTGAGCACCTGTCCCCTGGTGGTCAGTGCACATCATAGCAACCTATTGTTCCATTGTTCCGCCGTTCAGTCGATTTGCATATTACACTTTTATTATATAGGATAATGATTCCATGTCATAGGTGGCATGTGGGTAGTCTGATATATTTACTTATGTTATATTTTATTTTTTCAATGTGGTGGTTGCCATGAGACATAGCAATAGCTTCAATTGTCTGGATGTGAAGGCCCAGCATCAGGAAAACTTTCACCTATCGACTAGCTCTTTGCTATCTCCTTGTATGGAAATAGCTCAGATTGATTGTCCCTATTTTACCCAGGCAGAGCCTGAAGCAGTTAAATCATTTTCCCTTCTATGATTCCCACATGAGAAAATAGATGGAACTTGCCTAAGAATCTCCATGACACAGAATGAGCCAGAATACCCAAAGGATCTCATTGCCACATACCAAAATGCCATCATTTGAAAACAACTAAAATAACTCGTACAATGATTGACCGTTCCTATCCCCAAGCCTGAAAGAAAACTATGCCCAAATGGAATTTCAAAGACAAGCACCTGAAGGGGCCACAGTCAAAAGATGGCGGGAGGGAGACGATCATGTAGAGGACAGGCATGGTGGACAGGAAGAGGATGAGCAAGAGCATGCCCAGGTAGAAATTATTCGATCTGGAAGCTTTGAAGACTCTGGCCTCAGGGACGTTGCAACACATCACGGCCCAGCCCTGGAAGTACATGGATGTGTGGAGTCGAAGGATATTGATGCCTGGGAGACTGGGAGCAAAGAAAGAGCCCATCCTAGAAAGGAAAACAGAACTCGGGTCAATTCAGGTCTTCCCTCCGGAACAAGGCCACGCAGCACCTGTTTGTGTCACATCATGCTTACTTGCCAAAGGCAGAAAATGCCACTCTCAACCACACAAGCCCTTTGTATAAATAATGCATTTCCATTTTTTACACACATTTTACCACCTCCCCCATTATTATAGGTATTGTATACATACTTCATAGAAACTATATAGATTACTAATCATATCTACTATTAGTAAGTTTAAATTACAACAGAGTAAGTATATATATATATGTATGACATTTGTTTTCTTTCTGTCTCCCACTTCTAAAATAAACTTCATTTTCCTTAATGCGCATATAAATAATTAACAGCCAAAAAATGAACTTTTTAATAACTGACTCTTAAAAAGCACTCATTCACCACAAATAAACTGCACATTTGGATTAAGTACTTTTGTTGTGGCTAATAAATTCTCATTTAATGAAAGAGAAATTATTAAATTATGTAGGCAAGGAATACTAGTGTTGGGAACCTTCTGGTGTTAGCCATGAATGAGAAGATGTAGGTTATTTGACTGTGTACACAAAATATAAGCATATCACGTGGCCTCTTTGCAAATCAGGTGTGCCTTTTAGTGGTGCTACATTGTGCTGATCCCCCAGGTTTCTGGAACCAAGAATGGGGGGAAAAGTGCTTGAGGGTGTGCTGGGGGGTATGTGTGTGTGTGTACATCTCCACTGAATAGTTTTATTGCAGTTGATGGGAATGATGTATTTGTGTCTAATATGCTATGTTTTGTTGATATCCCGGAGCAAAGCTTTATGTGTTTTTGAGAGAAATTCAACACATCTCAGTTTAGTTTATCTGTCTACATTTTACGTTAGCTTGTCCTGGAAATCACTGCTTTGTATATAAGATATTTTAAAAGTATTTTAAACAAGAACTACTTAGAAAACTTCTCTAAGGTCATTCTTACTTTATGATATCACTGGTTATTGCAACAAAATAAATTTTAATTTTATTTGATGAGAAAATTCATTAGCACCATAAAACCATGTTAATAGAAATTAGTTCAAAACCAAAAAGAGGTTTTAGATGTTACTTATTTTAGAAGTTTAAGCAGAGTCCTATTTTTAAAACTGTCCAAACTATAATAAAAACCTGAATATTTCAGGTTAGGATTATCATTTTAATCCATTCAATGTAAATTTGGTATATTATTTGGGGATTGGAACTGAGTTAGATGAAGAAATTAGTTTCTGCTATAACTGAACTTATGAAACCCAACATTAAACAATTTCATTGAAAAGTGGAATCTTGACACAATTCATATTGTCTTGCTAGGATTCCACACAACAGATCTGAATGATATTTTAACATCCTGCATTGAATTGACAAGAGACTTTGTAGGAAGTTAAACTAATTTTTTTTAAATGGTACGGACTTTGGGTGATAATGACACGTCCAGGTAGGTTCATCAGTTGTAACAAATGTACCACTCAGGTGTGGATTCGATACTGGGGGAGGCTGTGCATGTGTAAGGGCAAGGGGGATATAAGGGCTTTGCACTTTCTATTCCCTTTTGCTGTGAATCTAAAATGTCTCTAAAGTATAAACTCCATTAATTTTTAAAAAAAGAGAAAATAAACTTTGGAAAAGCATAGTGTATCTTAAGAAAGAACCTAGAACCACAAAAGCACGAACAAGTGAGTGAGTACAGGTCTTCCAAAGCACTAGATACTATTCCCAAATGCTAATATTCATAATGTAATGTGGTTTTGGATGATGCTCTAGCCCAGAGATTTTCAACCTATGTCCTGCAAGAATTTTTAAAACATGCAATACCTGACTAGTTAGTTAAGACCCCTGACCTCTTTTCCCTTAGATTGTCAAATAAAAAAAAATATGACAACAGCCAACACAACAATAGCCATCTAGTGTGAATTGATCAAAATATACCATTTTTTGTTGTTAGATTGGCAAAAAATATATATATAACATGTATTTTGGTGTGCTGCAGAATTTTAGTAATATTTATGTGTGCCATGAGATGAAAAAGGTTGAAAATCACTAATCTAACCCTTCTAAAAGTCAGGGTTGGCTATGTGATTTTTTTCTGGTCAATTAAAATAGGAATAAAACAGATGTGTCTTACCAGTCAGAGAAAGATAAATAGCACATGATGTCACTCAATTATGGAATATAATGAACATAAACTGATGAACAAAAACAGATCCAGACACAGAGAAGCATCAATCAGACCATCAAACCTTGGAGGGAAGGTAGGGGAGGGTGGGGTAAGGGGGAGAGATCAACCAAAGGACTTGTATGCATGCATATAAGCCCAGCCAATGGACAGAGACACCAGGGGCATGAGGGCATGAGTCGGGGGCAGGGGGCAATGGGGGGGGGGATAAGTAAAAAAGAGAAGAAAAAATTAGAGGTGTCTCACTGCTGGGTGGAAACACTAACAGCCCTGTGTGTTTTTCGCTCTTCACTACTCTGACCAGCCATTCCAGGTGGGTCCTCATGATGCCTGTGTAGGACTCCAAGAAAGGGGAAATTACAGAGTGGAGCCCTTGGTCAGCCCACATCAGACTTATAGAGTCTAATTTTTTGGGTCTATGTTTCATTGCTGATCAACCTAGTCTATCCCTTAGGTACAATTTTGTACATAATTCAAGAACAAGACTTGTCTAAAGTCACATATATTTGCACATATACATGCATCATTTTTTAAATTTGAATTCTTTATTATTTAAAAGTATTACATAAGTCTCCCTTTTCTCCCATCAACCTCTCCCCAGCTGCTCCCACACTCCAGCACATGCCCTCACCTCTCTACTGTCTGTGTCCATTGGTTATGCTCATAATCATGCATACAAGTCCTTTGGTTGATCTCTTACTCCCTCCCCCACATGCATCATTTGTCTCTATGCATATATATGTACACACTTATTATATGAATGTACATCTATAGATAAATAAATTTAAAATTTTCCAAATGAATATCACATAGGCATTTTGAACAAATGACACAGAGCCATAACCTAGAAAAACAGGTCCTGGCACACTGATATCAGAACCTTAATGCTCACTCTGTCATTGTTCATGCCTCACCACTAATCAGCTTGGCTCACTAAGTCCCTTACCCAGACTTGATCCCATCATCTGTCAGGCAAAGATCACAGTAATACCTTAGCCTAATAAAATGCTTTTCTTCCAAGAAGATCAAAGTAGATGAAAGCTTCTTTTATTTAGCTCTTCTTATTACTCCAGTGACATGGTATATGTCAGGCAAATTATTCACGTGTGATCAACTGAGAAAATGAGGTAGTGAAAGATGAAAGATTGGCAGGAGGGTATACCATGAGGCAATGTTGGAGCAATGTCTAAAACCATCTTTTCTCTCACTGTGTGTTCTTTGCTACCTCTACATCCTGCTACAATACAGATAACTTGTGCTTTTGTCACTTAAAAAAATGTGATTACAAAAGCCTATGCTGCCTATTTCAAAAATAATGAGGAATCTCAGACATAAAGGGGGTGGTGTGGGAGGAGATTAACCAAAGAACTTATATGCATATTTGCATAACCCATGGACACAGACAATAGTGCTGTGAATATCTGGGGGGTGAGGCGGGAAGGGCGGGAAGGGGGAAGTCAGTGAGGGGAATAAAGGGGACATCTGTAATACTTTCAATAATAAAGATAAATTTACAAAATAAATGTGTAATATAAAGATTTACTGATCATTTCAGTCAATTCATAACAAACAGACTTTTACCTATAAATGTTTGACTTTAATAACATCAGAGTAAGTAATGTCCACTATTTAGAAACTCCTAAAGCGGTAATTGAATGTCTCTAGTCACAAACAAAAGAAATTAGATTCAAAATCCCCATGCTCTCTTGATTGTTTCTGTAACAAGTGGTCAAACCCAGTTATCAGATCCTAATGCCTCATGAAATAGATTACATGAGTGCGTGCCCTTTTGCAAGAGAGCCTGTGAAAGGTAGGCTGCACACTCCACACACCTCCCTCACCAACTTCCTGGGAGTTAGAAAAAGAGAATTTGTACAAAGGGTTGACCTGAAGGTGAGTAACAGTTCTTTTGCTTCTGGAACTCTGGTGTGTGGCTATCTTTGTCTACTCAAAAAGCACATTCACTTTCTAAAGTCCTCCTCACACTCATCAGAAGCAAGGCTTGCTCAACAGCTCAAGGATGAATACATAGAAAGCAAAAGTGCAATGATATTGCAGAGATTTTGATAATGGATCTACCCATGAGAGAACAAGGTTTTTAGATATTTCAGAATGTTAATATGAACAATAGCAATATATAGAAACAGTTGTGAAATTGCAAGTGAAAACAATCAGGCAGCCATTACAATAGCTTTTCTAATAATGAAAAGGAATTTCTAGGCAAATGTGTTGTCTAAATTCTGAAAGAACAAGAAAGAGACATGTAGCACATGTGTGTACAAATGGCATCCCCCGGGCCTGAGGGATTTATGGCACTCTGCAAGAGCCAGGGAGTTTTTTTGTTTTGTTTTTTTAATATATCTTATTGATTTCTTACAGATAGGAAGGGAGAGAAATAGAGAGTCAGAAACATCGATGAGAGAGAAACATCAACCAGCTGCCTCCTGCACACCCCCTACTGGGGATCTGCCTGCTACCAAGGTACATGCCCTTGACCGGAATCGAACCTGGGACCTTTCAGTCCACAGGCCGACGCTCTATCCACTGAGCCAAACCAGTCAGGGCAGGAGCCAGGGAGTTTTAAAACGGATATAACACAGTGCTTCCTCATTCCTGCAGTAGCAATGTTGCAGCCCTCAATCAGCCACATTAGGCTTATAGACAACAGAATCCTCTCCAGGAAAGGAAAGATCCAGGACCCACAGAGGCTGTTACCTTGACTCTCTGTTAGTCATACGTTGGACCACCTTGACTTTCCTCTGCGTGGAGAATAAAGGATGCATTTCACTCCTTGGACACATAAGCCATAACTTGCGAATTTAACCAAAAAGTACATTTAAAATACACCTGACAATAGAGAACATAATCTTTTCTTTGCAGTGATTGATCTAATGAGGCCCAGGAATTTGACAGGCCCCATGGCAGCACGAATGGGTCTTTGGCTATGGTCTTTATATTACTAAAGTAAAACAATTTTAACATTTGCATGAGGTCCAGTCTCACAAAGCTTTAATAATTCAGGCCAGCCATGGTTGAAAGATTTGAGTAACATATGATGCTTGTGCAAAAACTGAACTAGTCATTAGTAGTTGTACATAGGACAATGGTGTGATCGGTGGCACAATATTATAGTAGACACGTATCCACAGGATAAAGAAGCTCAATTGTAACTGCTTATGGGTTGGAGTGCTCTTAGTTGAGTGACAGATTTACAAGACACATGGTCCCCAGATGAATTGGATGCTGTGATTCAATTTTTAAACTAAAAAATGGCTTTGACTATATCAATTCATCTTAACCTGTCAGGGTTTTCCGAGAGAATGCTTTCATTTGATAAAAGATATGACAATCCTTTGTACATCAAAAGGAATAATTCTGATGTGCAAATGGCCCTGTGAAACAAGTTCCAAAATAACGATCATATTTTTAACTTGACCTTCCTAAAACATGTGTTTTTATCTCTATACATTATTGGATTTGGTAAGATACTATTTTTTTTGTAAAATACTATTTTTAACAGTAGCTATAAGTTGTATTTTAAATGTATTCAATAATGATGACAAGATAAAATCAGTTTCTCAGAAAGATCTCACAATTTATCCCATTCTTAACATGTAGTAATGTGATCATTAATGTTTGTTAGATGCTAGTGTCACAGGACAGAAAATATAAAACGCTTTCCAATAATCTACCAACTAGAACACAGGGGCCCATCACTTGATGAAGGAGTGCTGGGCAAAACAGGCAGATGCATTTGAAGACCAAAACTGAAGATTTGAAGAAGAAAAAATAAACTATTCACAGCCATCCATTCTACAAACGCAAATGTTGACTTAGACACAGATTGTGATCTCCTTTGATACCGGGCCACAGTGTTTTATGCAATATTGATCTTGGAGGCTTTTCAAAAAGTGCTAGATTACCCAACAGCTGGCCTACCAGATCATGCCTTGGTTGAAGATCAGAGCGAGGACGTTGCCACTGATGTCAAATTCAGTATATGAAGGCTAGAAGAGACACAGACATTCATTGGATTAGTATCTCATGGGGTGAATATTGACAGGCAAGTGGTTTATGCTTCTACATGGGTATGGCTAAGCTCTCAACTATTTTCTTACAGCAACAATAGTGGGATGATCAATATGACAAATAATTAGCAATAAGGTAAGTAATAAAGCACCCTTTTAACATTGTAAAACTCATTTTAAAATGCTGTCATTCAGTGCTGTGAAAGCGTGGTGAGATAGGCTTTCATACACTGCTGGGGAGAGTAAATATTGGAGCAGCCTTTTAGAAAAACAATTTGAGGATACATATTTAAAGCTTTAAACACCTCACTCTTGTTAAGTCTACTTCTCGGAATTTGTCTTAAAGCTATCTTAAGTGTTGAAAAATGTAAACAAGCAGAGATGAAGCCATCTAAATGTCTGATATTGGTTCAGTAAATAAAGTTCATCTATAAGATGACATATATCACAGCTAATTACATCATGTTGGAAGAGTATTTGCATACACAAGAGAAAACTATATTTTGACATTAAATGAAAAATATACAAAATTATACATTCATTATTTTATGAACTCTTTATGAAACTATGTGTAAAGAAAAGAGTTGGAAGTATTCAACAAAATTAATAGTTATTTCATGTGGGGATGGGTGATAGCTTTTATTTTCTTCAAGTTTTGTATCTTGTAAAATATTTTTCAATAAAAAGATGTGAATTTCTTTTACAATAAAATAATTATAAAGAAACACAACAAAAGTTAAAGAAGTTATTGAACTGGATGTCCAGTGTTTGTCTCTGGGATGATACCATCCTGCGTAGGGCGGCAGGACCAGGCAGTTCTTTGTGCAGAGGTGCCACTGATAGGAACTGAGGTATCTTCCTAGGGTGGCCCATCCAAAGGCTTCCTGGTGACATATTAGGCATTCTATAAGGAAAGCTTCTACCAATGGGATTAATGCTAATTAGCAAAGGTAATAAAGTTTGCTTCTATTTAATTTTAAAAAATACATATTTATTGATTTCAGAAAGTAAGGGAGAGAGAGATAGAAATATCAATACATGCCCCCACATTGGGTATCAAGCCCACAGCCCAGGCATGTGCCCTGACCGTGAATCAAATTGTGACCTCCTGATTCATAGATTGATGCTCAACCACTGAGCCATGACAGCAGGACTACCTCTATTTAATTTAAAATAGAGAATAGTCAGGAAGGAGACTGAGGAATGGGTAACAAGAGCAAAAGAGAACAGCAAAATGATAGGAAGTGAAAGGACCAAGAGACCATGAGTGTGGTAGGTCCCTATCACCGCCCCAGATGTTGACATCTGCACATGTAACTTAAGGCCATTTATATCCTTATAATAACTCCCTCCCCAATACACACACACAAACATATACACATGACCTGAAAGTGTCTCTGTTATTCCCAAACCCAAGAACCCAAACATATATTTGTAAGAAAATAGATTTGCTAAAGAATTCTTGAATTCTTTGCTAAATGCTTTGCTAAAGACTTCTTGAATCTAGGTCAATTTCATCACATTCCCAAAGGCAGTGGTACTCTCCTAGTCAACTGAAAGATACACGCAATGTGCCTTGTTAATAGATTCAGGGGATAAACAGCAAATGGCATAACAAGAATGATTAAATAACAAGGTAAAATGATACAGAATGAAACAATAGATAGCCCTATTATACTAGGCAGAACAAAGATGACCTGGATGATGCCAGCACAAATTCACTCAAGATATTGGAAAATTATATACAGAGTGTTTGTTAATTATCTAGATCTATAGCATTTATAAGGTGCTACAAAAGGGACTTTGTTGACAGTCTTTGGTATAAAATCAAAAATGAAAAAAAAAAAAGTGGCCTTCATGGAGAAAAAAAAAAAAAGCTTCCAATCATGAGAAACATCAATTCTGAGTATTTCTCCTCCCCTAGGAGAACTTTGCTCGGGATCATATATTCTCCTCTCCTGGAGCCCTGAGAGATCACATAACACATCTGACAAACGCTCAGCTGGGTGGCCTGTGACATCTGTGGACTTAGTGAAGCTCTGTTCTGTGTCAGTTCCAAAATCAAACCTTCAATGTTGGCCTCTTAGAATAGTGTCATGATTTAGCCCAACAAACCACAGACAGTGAAAAAATGCAGCCTTGCAGAACTGCATTCCTTTATTCTCACGAGCACTCAAACCGCTTAAAGGTCATTTGCGATAAGATATTCTTGTTACCAGGTGACTAGAAAAACTCAAAGGACACACAGAGTACCTGTATGCAGCAAGGACAGCTGGAGGAATAGAAGCTTTGATGCATAAATTGACAAAGGGTATAGAGCAGTCCTACCAACCCAGGTGGCTTGGTGATAGATACTGACAGGCATGCAGACCTGAGAGTAAGACTCTGCCCAACCATTTCCTAACTGGGTGAACTGAGCTGGTCGCTAATCTCTCCTGGCTTCGGTTTCCTCATAGATAAATTTATGAAACAAATTAGATTAGGGGTTGGCACACTATGGTACATGAGCCATATCTGGAGGATGGGGGAAGAGGCTTAAAATTTGAAGCTCCTAATCATGGCTTGGACTTTCCGATGACCAGACCACATCCTCAAGCTTTCCAAGTCCACCAAGACTTACTTCATGAGAACAAAAAATGTTCCTATCACCCAAGAAATTCCAAGGAATGTAGGAGCTCTGTGTCAGGTACCGGGGTCAAAGATATTCCTAGCACTTTCACTGTTTATGAAATTACAAATATATTAGGAGTTATGTGCCAAGAGCTTGGAATGAAGACCAAAATAAACATTTCTCATTACATCACACCTGCAGAAGCAAAAACACTATCCAGCCATTTATAGAGAAAGTTTGCTAACTTCTAAACTAAATAGTTTCTAAAATCCTTTTCTAATTTAAAATATGTAATCAGTTGAACATTAGACCCAATTATTAAAGAATTGCTTTTCTGTAAATACCTTAGAAATTAATTTAATTCTGTAGACATTAAGCTCAGAAACTTCCACTCTAAAGATAAAACAAATGTGAGAAGGCAGCCCCACATGTATACACACACACACACACACACACACACACACACACACATACATAAAATTCAATGCTCATTCTTTTACAGGTGGATTTTTTAAACATATAAGATTATATTATAGTTTAAATTTTAAATCAATATTTTAATAACATCAGTGTAAATCAATTTGCAATGTGTTTAATTGCCTCTAAAATCTAAAAAGCTTAAAGGTAAATGAAGCTTGAGGAATAAAAAGGTTTTCTTAAAATCTGAGTTAATGAATGTTTCAAATGGGATACATATAATAAACTCACTAATAAGATTTTTAAGGTTCAGCAACCAAGGAACCCATTTGGTTTTGGGCTAAGGTCCATAATAGTCAAGGGATTGTAATTACCTTGTTTTATATTGGGATCTTTGTTTGTGATGGGCTAGTCAGTCATCTACACAGAGGGAAGACATACGGTGCTCATTGGACTAAAGAGCCTGGGAAAACCCACTCTCTCTGCAAGTTTAGCTACTTGGGGCAGATCATCTACCTCTGAATATTGTGAAGTGTAATTCAGGATGTCAGATAGAATTCTGTTATTGCTATGACCTGCCTGACTTTCTTCACTCAAATCTCATTTCCCATGGTTGGAACCACTCCTGTTAGAACTGCAGGCTGGCCTGCCTGTGTCTCTCAGGCATTGCTTCTCAAGTGTGGTCCCCAGACCAGCAAGCAGCTTTACCTGGGAACTTGAGAGTAAATTCTCAGGCCTAACCCAGATCTCCTGAATCAGAAATCCTATCCTGCCTTTAGGGGATTCTAATGTACCCTCATAGGTGAGAACCACTGACTGAGCACAAATCCTAGCCTCATCTACAGGACAACTCAACGCCTTGAGGTTAGCACTTCAATCCTAGTTGCCTGTAGACAGATACTGTCCAATATTCAAGTGGAACTTCAAATCCAGCCTGTGCTGTCCCTTTTCCCATGTTCTGATCCCTTCATGGGATACCCTTGACTTCTTACTGATCCTTTTCATGCCATCTTCCTGGATGGCTAAATAATATCTTCTTATCAGCTAGAGAACATCAGTTTATCATCTAATTCTATATCCAAACCTCTTCTGCTAACTTTATTCTACTGAAAGTGACCTGTCTAAGCCTGGGAGTACCTTAAATTGCAAATGCCATAGATTGGCTCATGAATTAGTCATCATGTGGCAGATTCCCTTAAATGTCTAAGGTTATGAATTACAGTGAAAACCAACATGATGGAAATCTAGTTGATGGCTTTGAAGTTGATCAGACCTGGGTTCTAGACTTAGTTTCACCCCTGATCAGCTTAATGTATAATGAAGGTATATTCATATACAGAATATCACACAACCATTTAAAAACTATGTCATAAAAAAAGAGTTAACAGCATAGGAAATTGGTCACTGTTAGGTGAAAAAAGCAGGCAACTAGTCATTAAATATATGTTTTAATAAAAATGTATTTTATACATTTGAATAATATATAAAATACATTTATATATATATATACATTTTAAATATGTTTATAAAAATCTATAATGAATCTACAGTATTTGTTTATTTACATAAAAATAAATGTTAATACTATGTGATTCAAATAATCCAAATAAGCAATGCCATAGTGGTGAGATCACCTGTGATTTTTATTTTCATATTTAACTCACAGTGGATTTTACAGATTTTCTGTTCTCTGCCTGCACTGCCCATGTTTTCCAGCTGCTGGACAAGGTATAATGTCCCTCACCTCAGTCTCAAGTCCCTCAGTCCCTCACCTTCCATCTCAAGCCTTTGAAATTCTGATCATCCTTTAAGACTTGGCTCAAATGCCTCCTCCTCTGTCATGTCTGCATTTCTATTGACCTCTCCCCTTCCCCTCTGGAAGTCCAATCACAGTAGATTTCTCCCATGGCATTTGCATTTTCTGCTAGGTACTGACAATGGAAGCTTGCAAGATTAAAGAGTAGTAAAGAAAGTAAGAAACTGGTGAATGAATAAAACTGAAGAGGGCAGTGGTTTTTCAGCTCCAGCCAATTTCTCTGGAGTGGGAATATGAGTCTAAAGTTTCCAGTCCTTCCACTACATTAGCAAAGCAATAAATTCATATTTTTAAAATGTAAATCTTCCAGTTCTAACATGTTAGCTCATTAAAAACAAACAAATCACTCTGTGGACCAAAGGAAAAAACCATCTGTAAGTTGAATCTAGCTTGCAAATCCAAGTGTGCAACCTCTCCTAAGACATCTTTTCTATCGCTGTATCCCTTTATCACCCAGCACCAGAGTTTGCCCATAATGTTTCGCGCCTAGTAGGCATTCAATTTGTGTAAGCTGTTCACTTGGTGGATCAATGATAATCAAATCCATATCAGAGATCCATCATCCAACTTCAATGCTTTAAAAATTGCTTTAATGCTGAGCTTCTCTCTGAAGCACTTTCCAAAGGTAACACGGAAGAAAATTCTTTCTCTATGACCTAAGACAGAAACTTGTTGTTTTTCCTGTACTTTGTACTAATTCAAGAGCACTGTCAGCACTCAATGGATAATAAATCAATCATTTAATTACATCGTTTATGCATCCAGGTCATGTTGCATTGACTTCATATTTAAAGCAAAATTTTCTAGCACTTAAGAAGGAAGTGCTAAAAAGCAAGCATAAGCTAAGCAATAGTCTAACAAAAAAGGGCGATTTTTATGTCTGCATCAGAAGAGCTGAATCAGGCAAGGAAAACAGAAATGAAACCAAGCCAGCTGAATACCTCATAGCAGGGAACGGGAAAGCAATGCAACAGCATCCTGGATCTATACCATTACCTCACTATCGTTCACCAAAGAGCATTACCTAACTGCTTTTGGCTCGTCTGAGAGCCACTTTCAGTGAGAGTGATAGAGATGACCTAAGAGAAGGTCATGATTTCAAAGTCAGATAGCCAGGCAGAGAAGCTAGCCTGGAGTCTTAAAGACAGTTCTGAATGTAGGACTTGTCCTGAGACTCGGGGCATGAGACAGGAGGGAGATCTGCAGTAAAGGATATCACTTCACTAGTGAGAAGAGAAACAGCATGGGCTCAAAAACACTAAGCCAGAGCTGACTCCATGCCTGGAAGCAAACAGAAATCTGTCAATAGATGCATGATGTGGCCTTGATGATGCTAGAATGAGGAGGTTCAACACTGAACCAGCCAGCCAACACCTAATGCTTGCCATGTGACAGGCATACTAGTAGTTCTCAGCATAGAGGTCAAGGCCTCTGTCTCATAGAACTTTCATTCTAACAGTGGGAGACACATCATACGTCACATGAAGAAAATAAGACAGTGTGCTGAGAGTGTCTGGTAGGCTACATTAGAATGGGCGGCCAGAGAAGAGCTCTAAAGAGGTGACATAATCTGAGTCTTTAATGACAAAAAAAGAATGAGCCATGCCAAATTCTGGGAATGTGCATCCCTGGAGGGAGGAACAGCTAGTGACAATGAAAAGACCATCTTGTATTGGAGCATAAGAAAGAATCCCAACGTTTGTGGACTTTACAATGAAAGAGCAAAAGTAGTAAGAGGTGAGCTTAGAATAAGAGAAGAAAAACAGATCATATAAGGAATTAAAGGGCCTAGACAGCGATTTGGAATTCCTTCTAACTAAGCTACTGGAGGATTTTAAGCCAATGAGTACAACCAACCCCCAGGTCATATTTCCCAAGATGACTGTTTCATTTGCAAAAGAGGGACGGTGGGCCGCTGGAGTGTCTTAGACCACAGAGTAGTGATATGTGCTTGCCGCCGCCTTAGAACTTTGTGTGGTGATCCGGGGTTGAGCGTAGACAGTGAGCTCGTGATGAAGTCAAAGAAACCTGACTTCCATGCTGATGTCATGGGAAAGAAAGTCAGCTTGCTGGAACTCAGCTCCACCACTTGCCAGAGCCCTGTCAGCACCCTGGGCCTTCCTTGAAACCTCCTCAAAAGCCCCCTGCTTGTCTCTGCTGAGCTCTTGTTAGATTGTGAGCTTTATGAAGTAAGCACGATAGTCAATAAATCCTTCTATTTCCCAATGTACTGCACAGGGACTAGCCAGGATCCATGTCTAGGAGTTTATTTAGTAGCATTCCGAGGCATTAATAGAATAAGAGGTTGACACTACCATCCTGCCCTGTTTCTGGAAATGCCAGCAAGCCTTGTGGGGAGGGAGCTAATTCTGGGTCCAAGACTTACTGAGTTCACCATCCATTGCTTCATCCATCCTGTGCTAATTGATGAGAATATTGTGAGTCATGATATTCAAGTTTGACCCCCCTCTGAATTAAAACCATACTCATTGGACTTCATTTATAGTAGTTCCCTTCTTATCCACAGTTTCGCTTCCCACAGTTTCAGATACCATGGTCAACTGTTGTTCAAAAATACTAAATGGAAAATTCCAGAAATGAACAATTTGTATGTTTTAAGTCGCCCGCTGTTCTAAGTGGTGTGATGAAACCTTGCATCCCCCTGCTCCAGCCTGCTTGGGATGTGAGTCATCACTTTGTCCAGTGCATCCATATGCAGATGCCCCCTGCCTGTTAGTCACTTAGTAGCCACCTCAGTCATCACATCAACTGTCCTGGTATTGCAGTGCTTGTGTTTAAATAACATTTTTACTTAATAATGGCTCCAAAACACAAGAGTAGTGATGCTGGCAAGTAAGTTATGCCAAAAGGAAGCCATAA